AGTAGAGACTCCCCACGCATTTAATCCCTGGCCAGCTCACTCCTAGCTCTCTCCCCAGGCGGTGAAGGGCACCATGAAACGCACGTGTAAGTGCCACGGCGTGTCTGGTAGCTGCACCACGCAGACCTGCTGGCTGCAGCTGCCCGAGTTCCGCGAGGTGGGCGCGCACCTGAAAGAGAAGTACCACGCAGCTCTCAAGGTGGACCTGTTGCAGGGTGCTGGTAATAGCGCGGCCGGCCGCGGCGCCATCGCCGACACCTTTCGCTCCATCTCCACGCGGGAACTGGTGCACCTGGAGGACTCCCCAGACTACTGCCTGGAGAACAAAACGCTTGGACTGCTGGGCACCGAAGGCAGAGAGTGCTTGCGGCGCGGCCGGGCCCTCGGACGCTGGGAACGCCGCAGTTGCCGTCGGCTGTGCGGGGACTGCGGGCTGGCGGTGGAGGAGCGCCGCGCCGAGACGGTGTCCAGTTGCAACTGCAAGTTCCACTGGTGCTGCGCGGTCCGCTGCGAGCAGTGCCGTCGGCGGGTCACCAAGTATTTCTGCAGCCGCGCGGAGCGGCCGCGGGGGGGCGCGGTGCACACACCCGGGAGAAAACCCTAAGGGTCTCCTCTCAACCCACTCCTTTCCCCATTTGTTCTCGACTTCTTTTAGAGACCCCAGGAATAGAGGAATCTCTAGGGAATAGGGACCCCACATTACCAAGCCCAGGGATCCCGAGAGGGAGAGACGCTGCAATCTCTCCAGTGCTTGCCACTTTCCAACCTGTTCCCCCAATTCCTCTGAGCTCTCCTCGAGCTGTCCGCACCGTCTGCTCACCACACTGAGGTCTGAGAACTATCTGTTCTGAGATTCTGAGCTATTGAGCGTCCTCGGACTAGGATGATAACAGGCATTCCTCCTCCCCATCTAGCTGCCCTAATGCCTGGCCTACCCTGTGGAACTTAGGAATGGAAGAATCCTTTTAAGACAAGCAGGGCCTGGGAGAGCATGGCTTTTCTCTTTTACCCATTTTCTCCACCCCACCCACCCCTTTTCCTGTTGTCAGATGTCTGAAATAGTCACATCTTCCTTCTGCAGAGCCCCTCCTGTATTTTTAACCTCCCCAGGAATCTCTGCTTTCTCTCCCCTTCTCCTTCCCTCTTTTCCCTGAAGGGATACTGACAAAACCCACCCAGGAAAAAGCACTTCTTTGGGGGTTGGTTCCTAGAGGCAGAGATTGAAGATGGAGGAAGTGGGAACCCTAGAGTGCTGAACTGATGTTCAGTGCTACTCTTCCTTCCTATACCATGTCTCTAATGAACTTTGCCAGTGGGGCAATGACCTTCCTAGACAATCACCCACCCAAGGTGCTCCAGACACATACAATGTCTGGGAATGAGTAAGAGCAGATTGCCAGTCATTTCCTACCCTTTAAAGTATCTGTCTCCCTGCTCCTAACCTACATCCTCCTAGAACAAGTTTACCTCTTCTCTTTCCTAAAGACTCAGCTAAATAAAGCCAATTTCCCATTCAGACCCTGGCTTGCACCTCTAAAGACAGGTCACAAGGAGAAGCTGGGACCCTTCCTTTTTACAGGCAGGATTCAGGGCACTGGATTCTTTCCTTCAATAAGAAAGCTTCCTGCAATGAGACTTTGCTAATAGGAAGTTCAGCACCTTGAATTTTAATTTATTGCAATCATTATGATATGTATCTTTTTTTCTCCCAGGTGTTGAACTTATTCTTGGGGATATGGGGAAGGGCATATGAAAGATATAACCTCTAGGTTCTCTCCTCTCTCCCACCTTGCCAGGATGCCATCTTCCCATGAGCTTCACTTCTCTGATGGCCTAAGTAGCTATCCTGGCCCAAGTGAGGCTAACCTGCCAAGGATTAGTAAATCATCCCCATAAATCTTCCACTAATACATTCACTCAGTAGCTAAAACCTTGCTGCCTGAGGTGCTTGAGTCTTCTGGTTCTTTTCTTAGAAAGCAGGGACTTGCTCATGAAATAGGGCTCTGGGAAGGGAAGAACTAATCCCTGACAGACCCTCCACAGCCTGAGGAAGTTCCCAGTCATCTCCCTTCCCCTAGGCCAGTCCTGGGTCTGGGCACCAGGCAGACCTTCCAGAGCAGAACCGGTCAAATGCTGAACAACCTCATCTCACCTCTTGCAGAGGAGGAGAGAGCACAGAGGCGATGTGGCTCAAGTAGGTAAAAGGGTGGAGGCTCTAGGGGCCAACCTGTGAGAGTGGAAGAGTTCCCATATTCCACACTGAGACAGTGGCCAGGTCGGACACCAAGTCCATGGCCTCATCCCTACACATCTTCTGTTCCCACTAACACTTATTGAGGGAAGAGGTTCCCTTTCCCTCCTTACAGGGGACACACTTCCCTTCAGGGTCTCCTAGTGCTTCATTTCCAGTTCTATCAGCAAAAGGCCTTTTGCTCCTTCCCTCAGCTTTGATCTGGGTCTCTTGAATCTCCCCTAATGCCCTTCATCCCTAATCAGGCAGCAGCATGTACTAACTTGACTGTCCCAGAATTACTTGATACTGTACAGTAAGAAAATCTGACAAGGCACCTAGAAAATACACAAGAAGAACGTTATAAGGGAAAACTGCATTCTCCAGGAGGTCTCTCAGCATACAAGTAGGGGAACTATTGTGCTTCATATTTGACAATTCCATGTCGGTACTTGAAACATGCTGCCAGAAAATTCTTTTATAGGTTACTGTTTTGTATTCCCAAATGGATGTGATACCAGCTTCATTTGAGTCTATGAAGAAAACATTACTTAGCTACTTTAGATCTGGATTGCTTTTTCCCCCTCTTAAATTATCCATTCATTCATTTGTTCATTTAACAAACACGAGTGGAAATACAGTGGTGAACAACACACCAACCTCCTGCGCTCATGGAATTTAGGTTCTCTCATATACTCAACCGCTAGGGCTGTGTTCCCCGTTACAAATGTGGACAACCAGACTGGCTGCTTGGGAAGACACACTAGAGGTCAGCTAGTCAAACATTTTGTTTTATAGATTTAGCCCGATGCTGAAAAGAATGTCTGGCTTGTCCCACCAACTAGTAAGTTACCGTGGGGTGAGTCCTGGCACCCAGGCCCCTTCCCTTCTCTTGTGTGCTCTTTAGGAGTCCATCTGTCTCAGCCAGGGGACAGAAGCAGAGGGAGGTCCTGAGAAGTGACAAGGATGCTGGCTGAGGGGGGCACAAAACAGTGTCTCCTTCCTATTCCTGGCCTGTGAGCCTACACACAGGCAGGGCTTTCTTTTCCTGAAAAGAATCCCAGCCTCAACTGGCCCTAGCAGCAGGTTAGGGCAAAGACAGAGACAGGGTCGTGCTCAGCGCTGGCAGTGCTGGTGGTGGTGGGAGGGAAGGGCAGGCCAGGGCACTCGCCTATTGTGAGTCTGGATTGGATGCTTCCACTCATTCATTTCCTTTTAATTAACCCGCGTTCCTGGAGGAGAAATATTTATGTTGGCTCCCATAGAGGCAATCCGCAGACTGGAAAGAAGGGGAAGAAAGCCTGCCTTAGCAAAACAATATCTCTAAAGAGCTCAAGAAGGGAAAATAAGAGAACAAAATGCCATTAAAATAGCCTTCTACCCCCATTGGAGTCAATGAAAACTTCATTTCACATGCTAATCCCCCACCCCGCCCCCTTCTCTTCTCACAACACCTTTCCCGAAAGTGTTTGGGAAAAGTCTTCGCAGTCAGTACACAGCTCCCCGCAGCTCAGACTTCTCCTTGTGTTAGTTCAGGGCCCCAAGTGGGGCTCTCGCTCCAGCAGCGGCTTTTTTCTCCCCCCCTTTAATTTAAACAAAGACTTCGGAGTTCATCAACCTCCCACTGAAATTCACAGCTGCTGAACAAACTAATCCCCTCTCCCGGCCTTTCTTCCTTTCAATGGGCTCTTGGCTTCAAAGACACTTTGGGAAAGGACTTTGCTGGGGCTCACACTGCTTCATCAATAGAAGTTAGTGCAAGTATTATCTGAAGAGCAAGTGGCTTTACAAACAAATACTGCCTAACAATCCCTTCCTCCCAAACACACACATCTAGCCTGCAGACATGATGGGATCTACAACAGGATTAGAGATAGTACTCCTGGCTTCACACCCAGCTCCTTTGTGCAGCTGAGCTCAGCCCTGAAGTGGTGTGGGGAAAACCCTGGAGCTGAACGTCAGGCACAGATGGAGACACACGCATATGAACATACACACACACATAGCAGGGTGAGCACAAATGCTGTGAGGAAAGAGCCTAATTCAGTGTCACCTCCTTCCTTCAACTGTCTTGACTTCCCATCTGTCCCCTAACCTCTCTTCTGCCTTATTAGGGTACAGGGAGCAAGAACAAAGGGGGCTGGAAAGACAGGTAAGGGCAAAATACAACCCAGAGGAGACAATGATTGAGATGACTGAGGAAACCAAATTAAAGCAGCTTTATTGCACATTAAGTACATCAGTGTTTCAAATGCAGAGCCCAACCATGAAAGTGCAGCCAGAGAAGGCAGTCCTGAGACGTGTGGGGACTGGAGAAGAACGGCCTCCAAGCCTTGAGGAGCAGTGTTTTAAGTCTTTCGTTAATATGGCTCCTATTCCAGAACCTATTCTGGTCACAGAATGGATGGTCTAAGCCTTGGGCCGGGGCTCAGTCAGGCTGAGTCAGAGGCCGTTCCCCATAGGCAGTGGTCCCTCTGCTACTATCCCATACCCTAAGAAAGCTCTCAGCAAAAGGCAGTGCACCCCTTCCACCCTTCATAATGCTGGCAGATGAGAAGTCCCTTTTCAAAAGGGCCTACGTTCCTTCTCTTGGTTCTGCTCAGCACCCAGCCCTCATGTCTATGACTTGTTCAGAGGGTGAACAACAGTCAACTCTACCCCAGCCTCTAGTGCTCAGAGAAATACAGACCTGGAAATATGAAGTCAGAGGCAAGGTGGAGGTAAGGTCAGGCTTGTAACCCACAGAAAGGGAAAAAAGTCCCACATGATGGGTACAGCAGAGGTAGACTTGGAAGTAACAATCCTGCTCACCCTCTCAGAAGCCACTTAGAATATCCCTGCGGGAGAAGACACCATGCACCAGGCCCTGTGGGAGTAGTTTTAAAACAGGCTGCGAGAGCCCCAGAAGGCCAGGCATAAAGGGGTAGAGAGCAGGCACTCTGCTGATTTGCAGGCACCAAGCCTGCAGCATCATATACCTGGCAGCAAGAGAAGAGGGCTGAGAAAAACAAACAGAATTTGTTTGGAAATTCCCCTTTCCTGTGGGAAAAAGTTAAGTCACAGTAGAAGTAGCTTCCTGGCAAGAGCAGCTGCCTGGTTTAGATACGCAGCTTATGAGCAATAGTGAGGACAGACTTCAGGACAGGCATGAAGCTGGAGACCTCGCTGAAGCTGCTGCAGCCCACCACCTGGGCATGCACCGCGAGACCCTGCTCAAAGCTTCCTGCATCCACGCATCGAGCAACCTCGTGGAGCCCCGCCAGGACGTGAGGCGAGAGCTGTGGAGGGATTGGCTAATAGGTTAGTGAGCCCAACCTCTCCCCTACCCTGGAGGCACAGAGGGAGAAGGGAGACTTAAGTTCTGGAGTCCTGTCTGGATGAGATGTCCATATTCTGTGGGGAACCCAGCGTTGTGAGGCCTATGGGAAGGGACCCTGGCTCCCTCTGACCCTGGGTGGCAGTGGAAGGGCAGGAGGCGGAGGAGCACCACTGAGTGTACTTACCGTCCCCTCGCAGAGCTTCTCGTATAGATGTTCGAGACGTCGGGCTGCCTCGTCTAATTTCCGTTTTGTTTTCTGCAGGGAGGGAAATGGATTCTGATTCTAGCCCCTAAGTTTAACACTACGTAGGACCACAAAGAATCACGGGACATTAGAGCTAGGATGGTTTACTGCTCCTTCTTTCATTTCACAGACGACGAACTAGAGACCCAAAGAGGGTAAGTGACTGGCTCAGGCTGACACAGTCAGTGAATGAATGGCAGGTTTCCTTAGTCCTGGTCTCACCCTCCCTCCCTGAGGCCTTTCCAAGAGCTAAGTCTCAATGCTGTTGGTTCTGCTACCAAGGAGCTAAACTTCAAACCAGACAAGTCCTCCCCACTCCACAGGGACATCAAATAAGTATAAGATACAGACCGCATGTCTAGGGGCAGTGAGAAGAGAGTCACACAAGGAACTGGTCTACAGCTAAGGGGTCCTGGAACCAGCTGGTAGGTGAGGGGGCATCATAGGGAAGGTTCAGACTCACTAAGTCAGTGGCAGACAGAGAGCAGCGTTGCAAAAGCGCTTCAAAGCTGATCTTCAAAGACTGGTGTTCAGGGGGCAGCTCTTTCTTTTCCATCTTCTCAGGTGGCCGTTGAAGTTGCTGAAGGGGGAGCACAAAGACAAGAGAGAGGTAAGCTGTCCTTCCCATGGCTCCGCTCAGGGCTAGTCCTCAGTGTGACTCAGCATCACACTGGTCCCACTAGAGTGGAGTAGAGCTGGGGAGGGGGCACCCTCCCTCCTCTGCAGTAGGGGCACTTGGTATCTGCCCCCAACCCTGTCTCCTTCAGCCCAGAGCCTGC